CCTTGGAAGCTCAAGTGCTGGTGTGATCAACACAGAATGCTAAGTGCCGCGTACATGTCCACGCAGGCAGGCAAACCTTCACAGAGTGACACCAACGCGAAACGAGAGTTCAGAGAGCTGTGGAACTGCTACGAGTCAAGGAAAGACACATCCTGGTCTTTTGCAGTTGAGGTCATTACAGCGCTCCAGAGAGCTCTCCCTGCGGGCAAAGCGCTGATCTCAGGAGTCAAGTTCAATGTGGACAAAGCCTGAGACCAAAAAAGTTCAGGAAGGATTTTGAAGAAATGATTTGATCTGTTAATGCATGTATGTATGCATTGAACAAATATTTATTAAGTTGCTGGTAGGTGGCAGGCACTGAGTTAGATATCAGGCCAACAGTTAGGGACCAAGATCCCACAGTTTCAGTGTCTGCCAGCTGGAAAAGAGAACAGAGATGTGATCAAGGATTTACACTCGAGGGTAAACAAGGGTCCTGGGAGAGGGTGTGTGTGTGAGAAGGGCACACCTAAGCCAGGCGGGGGTGTCGGGGGAAGGCCTCTCTCTCAGGAAGCAGTGTCCAAATGGGATCAGCTTCAAAGGCACTTGGCGCCCAGCTAAGAGGCTGCACTGCCTGCGGCATGGAGGCAAGATGAGAGGCAGGTGGACCTGCAAACAAGGAGACTGGAATGGAGGCTGTGGCAATCCTGTAGAGAGGAGATCGGTGGCTTCAGGTGTGGAGTGGAAGGCAGAAGTTGTCATGGAGAAAAGTGGATGGAACTGAGAAACGTTCTGGAGGTAGCCTAGCCGGGATCTGGTGGCCAAGTCTTTGATGTGAGTGGCTGCTTCTAAGGTAAAGCCACACACTGAGAGAGGGAAGGCAGGAAGATGGTTTCCATTGGACCCACCAGGTGCCTGTCAGCCTTCCACCAGGATCGCCCAGGGGGCAGTCCGAGATGCTACTGACAGTGGGGCAGGGGAGCCGGACACAAACCTGTAAGAGTCACCAATAGAAACCTTCATCGACTTTGCTGCCGGAGGCTCTGGGGTGGTCCCGGGCTAACTGACTCAATCGGCCGTTCAGTATGGCACACCTGTTGTATGTCAAGCCCTGTTCTAGGTCCTGGGGATAGAGCAGCCAAGCAGACCTTGTCCTCAAAGACTTGCTTTCATTCTAGTCGGTCTGACAAACAGGAAACAGTAAAGTATGTCAGTAAACACCACTTCAAGAAGGGATGGTGTGGGGCTGGTCCTGTCAGGGTTCCTGTGCCGGTCACGGAGGTCCAGCATGACTCCAGCCCCACCCTTCCTGGGGCTGGCTGGTCGGCTTTCCTGGGTTCCATATGACACATAGTTTTCATGGTTCCCCAAAATCTTCCTCCATTTTCTTGAGATAGCAACTAGAAGAACTTAACACACCCCATGGATGTTTCTGGGCTCAATGAGACTGAAGCCTGAAGCATGCAGACAGTTAAGGCATATTGACTGCCCCCAATGGTGTGACTGTCAGCAAATGTACTGCCACTGACCAGGCCCTTCTTGTAAGCCTCAGCTGCAGGATGACGTCGTCTGCTCAACCATCAGGCTGCAAAAACACAGGTAGAGTGCCCATGCTCCAGTACTGCTGTTCAGGTAACCTGTGAGATCAGTCAGGGAGCTGTGGTAGCACAGTGGTTAAGGTCTTCAGCTGCTAACCAAAAGGTTGGTGGTTCGAACCTATTAGCCCTCTGTTGGAGAAAGATGAGGCAGTCTGCTTCCATAAAGATTCATAGCCTTGGAAACCCTGTGGGGCAGCTCTACTCTGTCCTACAGGGTTGCTATGAGTCGGAATCAACTTGATGGCAGGGGTTGGATTTTTGTTTTTGTTGAGATCCGTCAGGTCACACCCTTCAGACTGGTAAGGAAGACATGCCTGGGAGGCAGGTAAAAACCATCTACATGGCACACAGAAGTATTCTGCTTGACTCTTACTATTATAGAAAACATTCACTCACTCTCACCACCTGAAAGTTAAGCTGGTAACTTTTGTTCTCCAGTCAAAATTGGTAATTATGAAGAATATCACCAATATATGAATAATGCTCCTGGGATAACTACCATGAAGAAAGTAGGATATAGCTTATATCCATGCTTTGTTGTTGTTGTTATATGCCGTCGAGTCGGACCCGACTCATAGCGACCCCTCCTTGGGTTTCCGAGGCAGTATCACTATGGAAGTAGATTGCCCCATCTTCCTTCCGAGGAGTGGCTGGTGGGTTTGAACCGCCAGCCTTCTGATTAGCAGTCAAGTGCCTTAGGCACTATGCTATCAGAGCTCCCAAATATACATGCTAGGATCACAATTATGGAGAAATTCACGGGAGCTCACTATCCAGCAAGGTGTGCCAGACAATGAGCAGTATTGATGAAAAAGGTCTTTTCATTTTCTATGGAAAATTAGCAGGAAAATAATCACAGGAAAAGAAACCTGACAACTTGCTAAGGTGGCAGCACAATCCAGAAACTTCACCAGGAGAAAACCCAGGGAGAAACGTGATTTCTTATTTAGAAAGTAAGTCTTCTGTTGTTCCTGCTAGATGCCACCAAGTTGGCTCCGACTTATAGCAGCCCTGTGTACAAGAGAATGAAACACTATCCAGTCCCAAGCCATCCTCACAACCACTGCGATGCCTGAGCTCATCATCGTAGCCACTGTGTCAACCCATCTCGTTGAGGGGCTTCGCCTTTTTCGCTGACCCTCTACTACTCTACCAACCATGACATCCTTCTCCAGGAACTGGTCCCTTCTGACAATGTGATCAAAGTAGGTGAGGTGAAGTCTGGCCATTCTCGCTTCCAAGGAGCATTCCGGCTGCACTTCTTCCAGGACAGATTTGTTCGTTCTTCTACAAGTCAATGGTATTTTCAGTATTCTTCACCCACACCGCAATTCAAAGGCATCAACTCTTCTCTGGTCTACCTTATTCATTGCTCAGCTTTCACATGCACATGAAGCGATGGAAAAGACCATGGCTTAGTTCAGGGACACCTTAGCTTCAAAGTGACATCTTTGCTCTTTAACACTTTAAAGAGGTCCCTTGCAGCAGATATGCCCAGGACAATACAATATCTGATTTCTTGACTGGTGCTTCCATGAGTGTTGATTGTAGATCCAAGTAAAATGAAATCTCCGACCACTTCAGTCTTTTCTCCATTTATTGTGATGTGGCTCATTGGTCCAGTTGAGGACTTTTGTTTCCTTTATGTCGAGGTGTAATCACCTCTGCTCTTTGGCAAAGACAATCTAAGCCATCCTCCTTTTAACTACAACAGGACAGACAGAGTTCTTAGCTGGCAATGTTCCCTTTCTGGGCCTTGTTCCGTAGTAGTAGGAGTTGTTGGAGCCCATGACAGACAGAACCTTCCTGGGTAGGGGATACAGGCAGAGAATGCAAAGAAAGAAGCATCTTTGGAAACAGAAAGCTCTAGTTCTCAAAGCCCAGAATGCCCCTGCAAATTCTTTCTCACTGCGTCAGCATGGACATGACACGGTTCAGAGAAAATTCTCAGTCACCACCTTAAGAACAAGGAAATGCAAATAATGCCCTATCATGCTGCCAGACACCTGAGGAGCAGCATGTCCGGACACAGAAGCATCACTTTTCTGTCAACGAACTTCTTCGTGAACCTCATCCAGAGTCCTCAGGGAATCCTTGGTTGGATACAAACTCTTGCAGAAAATCCCAGGTCAAGAATTTGGGACTAAGAGCTGGATGCACTTCCAAGACAGCAAAAGGTAACACAGAGTCCCAGGCCAGCACTGTGCAAAGGGAGGCAAGGACCCCAAAGGCGAGTGCCAACACCATCCTGACCTGCTCTGAGGAAAAATCTGGGGCCAAACATCCATGTAGGATTTACCCCAGAAAGGGGCCAGATGGAGGGGAGGGTAAGAAGAGCGCCATCAAAGGCAGAAGGTCACCAAGCACAGATGCTCGAGAAGAAAGAAACCCATTCTCCACCAAAGGCTTTCCCTCCACCTCCCTCCGTTACATAGATGAGAAAACCGAGGCCCAGAAAGGAAAAGGAACGTGGCCAAGACCTCACAACCAAGCAGCCCCTGCAGGAGAATTCTGGATTTCGCCACTGTGCATCCCAAGTGCTGCCCCTTGCACTTGGGAGCTGGCTCCAAGAGAGAACAGCAGAGCCCGTGGTGGACGGGAATCAGAAGACAAGCACAGGTTCAGAGGAATCCTGTTTTTGTTTTGGTTTGTTGAACTAGCTCCCACAATGTCAACGCTGGTCAGAGAATTATTAACCAGGGCAGCAAAGACAAGATGACATGGGTGGGATGGGGAGGGTGGAGGGTGGTGAGAATTTGGTTTCCTTGGTTGACAGAAGAAGACACCTAAATGATTCTCCTCATTTTCCAACCTGAGCCTCTCAGGACTAAGCTGGGGCCTGGGTTGAGAGGACTGTCAGGCCTAATGGGTTCAAGCACACTAAACCCTGCCTCACTTTTCTAGAACAAAGAATTAGAAGCCATCAGCTTTCAATGTCTAACAAGCATGACTTAAATACTCAACTCTTCAGTTCCTGTAAAAGGTGACACAACCCACAAACTCAGTGGTAACTAAAGAGGCTGCCAATGAGATCAGAGCCCTCAAGTGAGACGCGGTCAGAGGTGACTGATTCCCTGGATGACCTGGGAGGGTAGTGAGGCATTCTGGGTTGCCCTATCCGAGCCATTCCTGAATGCGGGATGAGAGCCCCAGAACAGCGGAAGTCTGCTGGCACGCACACGCACACGCACATGCACACGCACACGCCTGCTCGTTCCTTCTGTGCGATGCACGTAGTATTTTATACCACATGTCAAGGCAGTCCCCCAGGTGTGGGTTTCTGCATTTACCAAGGCATCAGTTAGAGATTAACTGATTAACAAGCACATCCAATCACCATGCCTATCAAGAGTCTGGGTGACGGGGAATTTGCGTTCCCAGAATCTACCAGCCCGACTGGGGGTTGTGAGGGCACGGGCTTACCTGGGACATCAATCAACCTCTTGTAGACATTCAAGAAGGCCGCCTCAGCCTCTTTGCTTCTTTTACTCAGTGCATCAATCTGAAACGGAGTGAAAGAAAGAAAAGAAAAACACAGAGCTCAACATCGGTCAAGAATTTAAAAACCATTATACATCAAGCAAGTTCCCACAGCAAAAGGAAGTCTGATTTCTCCATGCAGATGCTAGACTACCGGGCCTTCAGTGTCTTAGAGTAAATGCCTGCCAACAAATACAAGGAGACAAGGGATACCTGGGGCCCAGTGCTGGGGGAAGCGGAGGCAGGTGCAGAGCTGAGATATGAAGCCGCTCAGAACACCGGCAAGTGACCACGAGTCCTATGGCTCAACTGGGTGTGAGAGTTCCACAGAGAAAAGCAGTCTAGTGTGTTCCTCTCCATCTCATTCCCCTTTTCCTAAGTATGGACTGAGAGCTAACTATATGCTAGGGTTCCAGGGTGATGCAAATGGTTAAGTGCTTGCCTGACTAGCTGAGAGGCTGCAGGTTCAAATCCATCCAGAGGAGCCTTGAAGTAAGGCCTGGCAATCTCCTTCTAAAAGGCCACAGGGCCTGGAAAACCTGAGAAAGCGTTTCTACTCTGCACACGTGGGATCGCCATGAGTCGGAATCGACTCAACACTATATTCCAGACACTGTGCTGGAGGGTGGGGTACAGAGGCGTGGCATGGTCCCTACCTTCAGGAGCCTCTAGCAGAGGCAACAGAATGTAAACAAGCAATTAAAGAACAGCCAAATAAGGCGAGGTAAGCAGGGACAGAAGGACACCAGGACAGGGCTAACAAGTAGGAAACAGGTGACGTTTGAGCAGAGTCTTCAAAAGCCATTCCCCAGGTTGGAGAGGTGAGACACTAAAGGGGAAAAGAAAAGAAAAAAAAAAAACAAAAAAAAAACCACTGCCTTCAAGTCCGTTCTGACTCACGGTGACTCCTCCTTGGGTTTCCGAGGTGGTATCTCTACGGACGTAGACTGCCCAGTCTTCCTTCTGAGGAGTGGCAGGTAGGTTTGAACTGCTAGCCCTCTGGTTAGCATTCAAATACCTTATGCACTACACCACCAGAGCTCCTAAAAGCTCCTTAAAGGGAAGAACATGTTCAAATGCCCAGAGCAAAATCTAAAATTCAGAGGGAAGAAGGGTTTCACAGAGCTTCTTGAAGAATTTTAAGAAAATCAAGGCTCTTCCTCCTAGACACACGTGCACACACACATACACACACACACACTCTCTCTGCAATCTTATTTTAGGATACTCACATGTCCCTCCGAGTTCTTTCCATAGGATCTAGGTTAAGAACCCATGAGTGGAGCTATAACAAACTATGGCGTATGGGGGATCCACAAGCTGTCTACTGTGGTGGGACCAAAGGTACATGTGGAGGAGCTGTGGCTAACAGACTGTCCGAGGGTAAATGAGATCATATTACAAAGGGTCACCAGGGCCAGGTGGAGAAGGGCAACCACCATCAACTGGCAGTGGGAGCACAGGGGCCTTGGGGCTCATGTGGGGCACGAATGAGAGTGGAAGGGGCATAGGAGGGGCAGGAAGGAGAGAGACTGTTTGGAGGTTACTGTCCTCACCCAGCTGAAAGCTGAGGGGGCTTGGCCTAGAGCAGTGGCCACAGGGACTGAACAGAACTGGCCAACTAGAAAGACTGCATCAAGCTGAGTTCACGTGAGGCACAAAGGAACACGAGTGTCAAGGGCAGCGCCTGTGTTTTGAGCTTAGGCGACGGCAAGTTTCTGTGAAGGTGGCTGGCATGTTTGTCTCGCGAACCTATCAGTGGAGCTATTCGCCCCCTGCGTTGTTATCTATTCAACAGAGAAAGGTGAGGTGGAAAACTCCTAAGTATGCAGGACACGTCTCCTGTGGAGAACTTCTGATGGTTGCAAAGACTTAGGACATTATTCAGCTCACAGAACACAGCTGCTGAGACAACAGACCAACTATTCACACCTGAAGCATGCAAGATGTTACATGCACAGAGTTCAAATTGGCTCAGGAAAAGGACACTAAATTATATATTCTCTTCTGTCCCCTCATAGAATTATACTCTGTCTACAATGCTATTAAAGAGGCAGAAGGATGTGGTTTAATTACAGGGCCTCTCGCGCTGAGCCAACCAACAATTTCAAGGCTGGGAGAGTTCACCTGATCACTGCCCAGAGGCAAAGACCCGAAGGAGTGGGAGCTGAGGGGGGTGGCAGCCATGTCTAAGAGACCTAAGGCAAAGCAAAGAGGTTGGAAGCCATCTCCAAGTCCGAACAAGACACACCCAGTGCCCCTATTTGAAGTCAGTTGCTTGGAACTCAGACACTTTTCTTCTTACATAAAATAAGGCTGTGCGTTAGGTGTTGGGGAGGTTCACAGAATAAACGCACAAGGAATACTTGAGTCATCAAGAAGTGCTCTCTTTGGAGTAGCTGCTGAGGCTGTCTGTGTACAACCAAACACCTTATGGCATTTGCCTGTGAGGTTAGGGTCATGGTTTCATAGGTCATCCCAGTTAACTGGCCTAATGATGTGTTTAGTGCTTCTGTTCTACCTCCCAGTTCAATGTGTAGTGCTGGCAAGTGGCCATTCAAAGCACAACAATTGGTCTCTATTTGCCTGGAGCAAGAGAGGAAGAGGGAGAGTCAGGACCTTGAGGAGGAAATGGAAAGTGTGGCTACTTGCTTCCAGGAACAACTGCCTCCTCTGACAGGAGACCAGAAGAACTGGATGGTGCCTGGCTACTATACTGAACATTTCGATCAAAGATTCTACAGAAGAATCCTGCCCCAAAGGGGGAAAAATTCTTACAGAATCCAGACTTTCTGGAGTGATGGATGCTGGGTAAACCCAAAAAACTACTGCTCTGGGGTAAGCTTTAAAACTTAAACCAAAAATATCCCCTGAAGTCCTCTTGAAACGGAACAATGCTTTAGCTTAACTAGCAAAGAATGGCTGCCTGAGGCACCGTGCTCTTTTACAGTCTATGGATGTGGGATCAAGTTGACAAGAGCAACTCGAAGACTGGATAGGAAACTTAGGGGGCACTGAGTTTATGTTAGTGGAGGAGAAACAACTCAGAAACGGAGGGTAAGGATGGCTGCACCCGTGGAGGAACGTCATCAGCGTTGCTGAGCTGTACCTACCACAACTGCCAAACTGGTGTCTGTGCTGTGAACAGTCTCCACAAAATAAATAAATTATTATTATTATTTTAAAAAGATGCTATTTTTAAGATCAAATGTATTCTTTTCTGATTATTAGTAATTCATGTTACCATTACAATAAAAACAATCAAAACTACAAAGAATAAAATTAAAATTATTATCTGCCACTCACTGGTAGAAGTCATACTTGGGTGTGTATTTCCCTTAGTTTTTTTTCCTAAATTAAAAATATATTGTAGAATGAAATGTCCCGAGTAGGCAGATCTATAGAGACGGAAAGTAGACTGGAGTTGGGTAAGGGGGCAGGGGAACGGATATGGGGACGCAGGCTGACAGCTAAAGGGGGTGGGGTTTCTTTCTGGGGTGGTAAGAATGTTCTACAACTGATCATGGTAATGGTTTCACAACCCTATGAATATACTAAAGAGCCAATAAATTGTATACTTTTAATGGGTATATTGTAAAAATATGAATTATATCTCAAAAAACCTGTTGAAAATAAATATATGGCTGAAATCAAACCATATGTAAAATTTTACATTGTGCTTTCTTTCACTAACATATCTTTTATTCTATGACATCAAAGACATCATACATAAAGACAGCCAAGGTCATTAAAAAGACAGGAAAGAAAGAGAAGACCAAAATGAATGTCAGAAGAGACTCTGAAACTTGCTCTTGAACGGCCAGTAGGTAAAGTGAACAGAAGAAAATGACATAAAAGAGCTGAATAGGAGATTTCCAAGGGGGTTCAAGAAACAAAGTGAAGTATTATAATTAAATGTGTGAAGACCTGGAATTAGATAACCAAAAAGGAAGAACATGTTTGGTGGTTCCCAAGCTGAGAGAACTGAAGAAAAACTTCAAGCCTCAAGTTGCCATACAGAAGGATTCTACGGGCAAAATATTGAATGATGCAGGAAGCATCAAAAGATGATGGAAGGAACCCACAGGGTCACTGCACCAAAAAGAATTGGTCGATGTTCAACTATTTCAGGAGTAGCATATGATCGAGAACTGATGGTGTTGAAGGAAGAAGTCCAAACTGCGCTGAAGGAATCAGCAAAATAAAATTCTGCTGAAGATAATTAAAAAATGGTTGTAGGAGTGCATCGACAGGAAACTGCCAGAAATTTAAGCCTGATTCAGAAGAGGATGTGGAACAAGGAATATCACTGCTGACGTCAAATGGAGTTTGGCTGAAAGCAGAGAATACCAGAAAGATATGTATATGTGCTTTATCGACTGTGGAAAGGCACTGGACTGTGTGGATGATAACAAATTATGGATAACACTGTGAAGAATGGGAATTCCAGACATTTAATTGTGCTCAAGTGGAACTACAGACCGAGATACAGCTGTCTGAACAGAACGAAGGGGATACTGTGTGGTTTAACATCAGGAAGTGGGCAGCAGGACTGCATCCTTTCATTACACTTACTCAATCCACATCCTGAGCAAATAACCCGAGAAGCTGGAATGTACGAAACAGAACACGGCATCAGGCCTGGAGGAAGACTCGTTAACAACCTGTGATATGCAGATGACATCACCACTTTTCTTGCTGAAAGTGAAGAAGACTTCAAGCATTTACTGATGAACATCAAAGACTACAGCCTTCAGTATGGCTGCTGCACCATACTGATGTATTCAACATAAAGAAAAAACAAAATCCTTACAAGTGGACCAATAAGCAACATTATGATAAACAGAGAAAAGACTGAAGTTGTGACAGATTTCATTTTACTTGGATCCACAATTAACACCCATGGAAGCAGAAGTCAAGAAATCAAACGATGCATTATTATTGCCTTGGGTAAATCTGGTACAAAAGTTCTCTCTGAAGTGTTAAAAAGTAATGAGGTCACTTTGAAGACTCAGGTGTGCC